TTGACATAGGTTTTGACTTTTGACATAGGTTTTGACTTTTGACATAGGTTTTGACTTTTGACATAGGTTTTGACTTTTGACATAGGTTTTGACTTTCATAACTTTGAAAAAATAGGATCATTGTGAAACTAGTTTCGAAACTTATCAAAACTAAACAATTTCAAAACTCCTTAGTTTTGGTGACCATCACTAATTGTCATGCAGATTCCACTAGTCATAGGGAGCGTTCAATGACTCATAGCGGGAGATCTAATGATAATAGAAGACATAGTGATATTAATCAAAGTAATGGTGAAACCAGCACAGCTGAAACAAACAGACAAAATCCGGAGCCTCATGAATCAGCTTCTACTGAAAATAATGAAATTAACGCTACAGGGAATAGTGATAATATGGCTAATATGAGTATTGTGGATTAATTAATACTCCAAGAAATAATGATTGATTGCATTACAGTTTTATTATTTTTTTTTTGATATAACCCGCATATAAGTTCTAGTTAATAACCATTTTTGTGCCACATGATTTTAGTACCTTATGTCAATTCAGTAATATACAAATGTTATCAAAAAAGTAATACGTCAAGGTTATCAAAAAAGTAATACGTCAAGGCAGAATATTATAAGGAAAAAGGTAAGATAAATTTGTGCTTTGACGTATTACCAAATAACTGCTAACAATTCGGCACTACGTGCCTCATCATCGGATGCTTTGGCGTATTACCAGATATGTTAACAATTCGGCACTACGTGCCTCATCATTGGATGCTTTGGCGTATTACCAGATATGTTAACAATTCGGCACTATGTGCCAGGTTTGGGCATAGCCCTCACATCAGGCCCACAAATGACAATATATGACTGAATGCATCGTCAGATATATTTTTTACCCATGTAGCCTAATGGCAGAAATCGGCCACAATTACCAAACCAGTATACAAATAATGTTATCGAATTTGGGTTATAATAAAAAACGCAGAAGGACACTGACGACGGTGTCAGATTTTTGTTGTCATGACACATGCGGGATGACGACACAAACACAAATCTGTCAACACATTTTTGTGGGTCATGGGTACCCAAGTGTGATGACGAACTCGTAAACCAATCGTCACTCGAATGACGACATATACACGATCTCGTTGTCACACCTGAGACTATTATAGTCTAATCTAAGTCGTATTTAGTTTATATAAACTAAATACGACTATTGTGATAACATGGGTGCACTACAATTATTCAAATTAGTATGGTTAGTGTAATCACAATATATGTAATTGCAAAAAATGTTTGTAGATGGTTTCCTAGAAGTAAGGTTGCTTGCCAAAACTCATCCAGAAATCAATCAGCAGGGTTTCAGCAGGTTACACATTAATTGTTTATTAGAGTTTTGGCAGAGTTTCGCATTTTGAGGTTTTGTCATTTCGGCATAGTTTCAACAGGATTTTTGATAAGATTTAATATATTTTTGCCATGATTTCAGCAATTACTAAGGAGGTTTTGCCCACAACCTTAGTTACACACTAGTATTAAAAAAATTTAGTCGACTAAATAGTCAACTAAAAATAATTGACTAAATAGTTGACTAAAAGAAATTTTGACCAACTAGTAGTTGACTAAGGATTTTTTGGACGATTCCAACCTCTAGTAGAATAGCACAAATCACATTATTTGTACTGCCCCAAGAGGTATAAATATACTTGGTTTAGACCAAGTTAATAACAATATTGTTGATAACAATAGCATAATAATAACTCTTAACACTCTAAATAAATATATAACCCTTAGATAAAATAGTCTTTGATTGTACTTAACTACTAAACTCAGTGTGATTGATTCCTAGCCCTTTTAATGAATGACCTTTAATTATTAGTTGGGAACCCTTTAATTATTAAACATATTGCCAAGGGGACGCCTTTAGAATATACATGGATACTGCAATCTAGGGATCTTTTATCCAGACTGTGTGCCATAAGATAAAAGAAGTATTGACTGTAAGTCAGTAGGCAAAGTAAGTCCTAGCTGTGTGTTGATATTTAGACTTAGTGTCAATAGGTATAATTATGGGCTGTAATTCAGGGGCAAAGTAAACCCAAACATAAGAATTACCTAGTAAGTATGTAACTCGGGATTGCATGTTTGCAACCAGTGTTGTGACCCGAAACTCTGAGTTTAGGGAAAGCCAGAAACAGAAACTAACAGAAACCACCCGAAACTAGTTTAGGCTAGTAGTTTATGTTAAGGTTTAGGTTTAGGTTTAGTTTTCTGCTTAGTGTAAGTTCATTTTCCAAAACATTTTGGGAAGCCAAAAGAGTTTCTGGTCACAACACTGTTTGCAACAGTCATTTTGTTGATAGTTCATTTCATCAATAGTTCATTTCATTGACAATTCATTTCATTGACAAACACTTCACTGACAGTTAGTTTACATGTGATGATAGTGATGGTGATGATATTGTCACTGACTATTTTGGTGATGACAATTAATATTTTTAATAGTGTGAATCAGACAAATTGACAATATAGTATTGAGGTTTTGTTTGAATCAAAACTCAGGAAATATTTATTTTTCTGATAATGATTCTTCTCAACCATTTAAAAAATTTAGTCAGAAAATGTATGGTTTTTCCATACATTTTCCACATATTTTGTATGGAATATGTATGGAATTATACATTAAAGAACACTTTTCCATACATTTTTGCCCTGAAAATGCACCAAAAATGTATGGAAAATACATGGAATATGCATGGAATATGTATGGAATTATAATTTTATTATTTAACAGGTGTAGAATAAAGTTGCTATTTCCACTTTAACAAGGTAAAATATGGAGTAAATCAAACTAAAATTGATGTTTACTTATTGCCTAATTTAGTTCATAAATAGTTAAGTTTTTTTGTCACACATTGAATATTAATATAAAAATACTAATCTTGACACAATGGATTTTAAAATTTCCTTATGTGTTCTCTAACTATAATGAAATATAAGGCTTGAAATATTTACTTTATATATAAAAAATATAATTTTTTTTTTGCAAATGTTTTGTTTTTCGAAAAAGATTTAATTGAACTCTTTCTCACATGAATTACTCAGCTTTTCAAAATCTTCTAATGCATGCTGAAAATAAAAGCTTCTCTTCAACAAATTAAATTATGGATATCTAGATTTAATCAATGTTACAAAGAACAAGCACTGAAATTGCAATTGAAACAATGCTCACAATTTCTTGTTCTTAAACTAATGATCCAAATAAAATTTATTCATTTTATTTGTTTCATTTGTTTATTTGAATAAAAGTTCAATAATTGAATATCAAATTAATTACGAATAGTTTGAATAATTTGAATAATTCTTAACTCTATATATAAATAATTTTTAAAAACGGATTGTCAAATTAACTTACAACTTTCGAACCCTGTTTCTCAAAAAAAGGCATCCTGATTTTCTCACCCTAAATAGGGGAAAAAAATATGACAGGAGATCACCAAGATTTTAACCAATTTTCTAGAAGAGGAAAAAACTGTCAAATTCCAAATTGATGGGGTGAAATAATGGTATTACTCATTTTTTTTTTTGTATTTCCGGATGATGTTTTTTATTATGTAAGCCATATTTGTATGTTTATTGAATTATCTAATACTAATAAAGTAAATAAATAAACAAGTATCTTTTTTTTTTACAAGCCTATTCAACTTCTGAAGCTCATTCAGTTCATTTTCTCGTTTTTATTTCATTAATTCATTCACCCATTCACCCATTCACCCATTCACGTTAAAAATTTTTTCAAAATAACTTTGTACAACAATGAATTTTTGACAGAAAAGAAATTATTGCATAATCGTTAAACAAAGTCATGTGATTTATTATCATGTGAAACTTAATTTTATTATAGAGAGTAGATAACAAATAAAATAATAAAATAAAATAAAATAAAATAAAATATAACAAAACGAAGTGAATATAAAAAATCTTAATTGTTTAAAAATGAATCTTATATATAAACTTAATAACATGAAAAAAATTAATAAAATATATAATAATTAATAAAATAATAGAAAGGCCAAGTCCACGAAACTAATATTTAAAAAGAAAAAGAAAGGGATCAACACAATAAAAAAAAAAGTATTTTTAAACCCGCATAAATGTTTGCCATAAAAAATAAACACACACACACAAAGATATTTTATGATGATGATCAAAAATTCCAATTGATAAGAATTAATCGAAACAATTAAACCGAAGATATGAGATTATTACGTGTTTTTAAAACAACCTGAATTAAAAAAGATCGAATTTAGTTATATTGTTATATGTATTATTAATTAGAAATTGAAAAGTTGGAAAAAAAACCAAAAAAAAAACCTACATTGTTCTAGGTGTTCCAAAGATGAATGAAGATCATTATATAATTAGTTAATCAATAATGTAAGTAGTTGAATTAATATTAACGATTTCTTTTGCAGTTATTTCATAATAAATAATGTTTTACCATTCAAAGCTGCCAATTTGTTCAAAAAAATAAAAAAACGAAAAAAACGAGATATTATTTAACGTGGGAGTTTTATAATGAATGAAGAATGGTAGCATGTTCATATTATTCGTTAAATGATATTTATATATTGAAGACGATTATAATAGTATATATTAAAGGAAAACATAATTCCAGATCGAGAAACAAAAGCGAAGCGAAGGATCTGGTGAACTAATCTGAAATTGATCGAGGAGTTTAAATAGGAAAATTTTTTTTTGATTATTAACCATGTGCTATATTTTGAGTAGTAATATTTTTTTATGTGGTGTGGTTTTATATCTATAATAAGTAAAAAAGAAAAAAACCAAAATTAAACAAATCAACAATCGATGAAAGTTGTTAACGAAAGTTGGACACACTAAATAAACATGGCACTTGCAATTATTAATTTTGAAAATACTATGTAACGTTGTATGGGTAAATTAGGTTTATTTTATTTACAATTAAGGATAATTCTTTTTTGTTTTAAATTTAGTTCCAATGTATCAAAGACAAATTTTTGAATTATTTATAAATGCCGAATAAATCATGAAATTATCAAGATAGTATGATTCTATATTGTTGACATGTCAATACACAAGAAACAATATTATAGTATTTGCCGATTTTATTTATTGCAAAGTGGAATTTTTGATCTAGCTAAATTTCTTTTCTGACGTTATACAAATTTCGATCGCTAGACAAAAGAAGATCAGAATGCAAAATGATGGATGTATGTATGTATGAATGAATGAACGGCGGGTGGATAGTTGCGATAAGTGCGTAATGAGTTTGGCAGAGGAGACAATTAATGTAGTTCATTTAATATTAATATTAATGCAATGTTATTAATCGCTAATTAATAATGTATTAAATGCAGTGGACATTAATTTTCTCTTTTTGGAGGGGTTTTCTGTCTCATCTTCCGCCAATTATTATTTATTAATCTTACACCCTTCCATTGAACCCTAAATTCAAAGAAAAAAATTTTCTTCACTCGTTACACAAATATAGGGTTTTTTTTGGAACATGAAAATCTTTACCCAAATTCGATTATAAAATGATTATTATAAAAATCTTAAAAATCTTTCATTCGCATTCGCAGATAATGTTGTCTCGATTAATTAATTTTTAAAAAACATAACTTTATTCAAAGTTAAAATGACAAATTGTTTACATAATCAAAAAAAAACATTCTTTATTTGAATAATTTAATATAGTAATTGGATTTGTTAATGTATATAGTAATTGGATTTGCTAATGTATTATTTCGTAGTATTTACAAGTTAAAAACAAATGTCAGTGAAAATGTTTGCAATAATAATAATGCAGAATTACTAATCGCTATAGTAATATAATTAATTTGTTTATTTATTAATTCGTCGCATTAAGCATGCGCACGCACGCACATAAATTTTGACATTTATATTTTTCCACCTTTCCGTTCTCTCATCTATTAATAATGGCTAATTTCTTCAATAATAGATCACGTTTTCTATTTTCATTCTCATTGTTTATCGGCCTCCGGTTGGTCGTCCAGTGAAAATTAAAAATTGGCATTTTTCATTTAATCTATTACATAATAATATGCATGATATGTAATAAACCATATTAATATGCTATCTATATTTATAAATAAATATAGTGTGTAATGAATTACCTTCCTGGTTAATTTTGGAGTTAAGACTATTATTATGTGTAACTTGCCATCAATTTTTGGTTTAGCAGTCGTACGCACATGTTACCATATGGGTTTGATTTTTTACACATTATATCAAGATCTACTGAACATATTACCATAATGGAGATCCCACTAAGAGAAAATAATTTTGAATTTCACATTTTTTTCTCAAAACATGATTTTCAGAGTTGTATTGAAAAGGCGCCATTAATATGTTTTGCTTGAATTGGAATCGAATTTCAATCAAAATAGTCAATCAATAAAAGGGACATCAAATATTTAGTTGGCACGTTGCCCTAAAAAAAATGTTGCACAGAAAACACATATAATATCTACGGCTGTAAAAGAGCGCGGAAAACATATAGAATGCGTATTTTTCGTGTGATTTCTGTAAATTCCTTATACTATCCGTATAAAAAACATACGAAGACGCGCTCTTTTACAGGAGGATTCCGTGAAATAAAAATTTTTTATTGGTGGACATAACGCCGCAAAATAATTGTGTGGTAGAAGGCGAGAAAATTGCCGAACGCCACAATAGTAACACAGTAAGACAATGCATATTCTTTTGTTGGGTTATTGCCTTTTTCCTTTTACCTTATTATATGTTGGTCTATCTTGGCAAGCAAATAATTTCGGATGTAATTTCGGTAACTAATAAAGATTAATAGAGACAATTTCGGCTAACATGTTTGATATATATTTTTTAGTCTATTTTTTAAAGGGCATAAGATCCATTTGCAAACATAATATTATAAATTCTGTCATAAATATAGATTTTATTTATTATAATCAGTTAATTATTAGACAGTTAAACTATAATTTTATTTTATTTATTGCTCTTGTGAAGAAGTTTTTTTTTAGCGAATTTTGGTTTTTTTAAATTTCTATTGAATAAATTTATAAATTAGGTTTACTCGGGTATTATGCTATTAAAATTTGCCTATTTTATTAAAAAAAGGGAATTTAGTTTTTGCGCCTTGTGTGTAGCCATTAAAAAAAATTTTACTAATTGATACTATATTACCAAAATTTTTATATCAATTTTCATTGGACATAAAAAAATTTTTACCCTTAAAAGTCTTGGACCTTTTAACGCATCACTTTTCTATATGTTTTCTACCCTTGGTTTGCTTGGGACATCAATTAGAAATTCCGGGGTCCTAGAAAATTTTATCGGAGTAGCCAAAGAATAGGTAATCCCGAGTATTTTCCTTCCATGCAATTACTCTAGTAGCTTTCAAATTTTTACATAGCAGAAAATCTTTATCTTCGCATGCTGAAAAAAACTAAAAGAATTTAAGACCAAAGAGCAGAAATATCAAACAAGAGATCTTGGATTCTATTAAAAATTAATTAATTACTATTATATACATGTTTGATGCTTGTTGCTGATGAAGTTTTAATACTGAGGTTTGTTTGATGTTATCATACAAACATAAATTGTATTTTGCTTTACGTTTATATCTACTGTATATTTCTTCTCTTTATCATTCAAACTTGCTCAAAAACCTTACCAGATGGTATATCTTCCAACACTAATGAATGAAGAAGCAATAACTGGAGTTATGATGCACAAGAAAAGATCGAAATTTTTTTACATCTTTTAATACTATCCATTACGTTAATATCAATATAGTCTCTCATTTTGGGGATCATTGATTTTAGAGTGGAAGTGTCCGCCTGTGTTCTGATACGTCAAGGCGAAAATCGTTCAATGCAAATTAGCACTTTTAATAAAGCACAAGGAGAAGGGTTGAAATTTGATTCCTTTTAATCATGTCATTTTGTAGGAAACATATTTCTGCTTCAGGTAAAAAATTTTAATATTCAAGGATTTAGCAAAGAAAAATGTGCAAAAAGAATGGAGGAAATACAAAATTTGCTTAAGAATAATATAATCAGAGGTGAAGTAAATCTAATTGTATGTGATAATAGAATTTAATACATTAGTGAATGTCTATATAGAGTAGTTTGTCTTTGTCGTTATTTCGTTAACAATTTTTTCTTTCTATAGTAATAGGAATAAATTATATAATGGCTTCTCTAATTCGGAAGAACTGTTGGAATAATTTTAATTGGAATATTCAAGGGCACCAGTGATCACATATCAATATCCTTGCATCACCATTATCGTCATCATCATCAATTGTTAAAAATAAAAGAGATTTGGATAGAACAATGTCTTTGAATAATGCAATAGACATTGTAAATCAATAACATTCCGTAAAAGATGAATTTTGAAGTTATGATTTCCTCCATATTATGTAACAATTTTATTAGATTAACTGTTGTAAGATTTTTTTTCGCTTATAGTGGTTTATTTGGCTAATAAATCAATTGGCCTAATAATATGTCTCCCGGCACTGGTAAAAAAAATTAAAGGTTAAATTTATTAAAAAATACAGTTTTGGTTAATGTAACCAACCTTTAATAAACTATACATCTCATCTTAATTAAATAAATTTTTATCAGTGGTAACTTTTTTTTTTGTTAATAGTAATAAGTTTACAGAATAAAGTGTCTAAAACCTAATATAAATTGATTTAAAAACACCCAACGCATATACACCCAATTTAAAAACTTGTTGATATCTATAGTCCATAATTCAAGAATTTCACTTGATTTCACACTTTTTTTAACAGAGTAAAAAATTAATGCTAGACAAAATTTCATTGGTTTGGAAAAAAAGTTTAAATTTTCATCCAAAAAATTAAAGTTTGGTGGTTGATTTTTTTTCGCCAGCCAGCCGGATATCATGTTTATCAGCCTGTTGAATTGTGACATTTATTACGAATAATAATCATACATGCATTATTATTATTACTTGCAGGACATTATCAAGTGACAGTAACATGATAACAATGATTAGTGCACATTTTCAAATCATACGAAATCTGAGCCAAGAAAGCTGCTGACATATTAGTTTATTCTATAATGGGGGGTTTTTTTTTTTTGGAGATTGATTTAAAGGCAAGGGCTGCATTAAAGTGCTGCCTACAAAAGTCAATTATTACCACTTGGAAGATTGTATTGGAAAAATTCGACAAATAATTTTTTTAAAAAAAAACATGAATCCTTTTTAAGATTATCTTCATCTCTGCGCCATCAGACTCATATCAAAGTAACCTTTATTGAAATTGTGCTCAAACACGAGATTTCTTGAGTAAATTATGTTAAATGATCAAGTGTTTACGAAGACTAAAAATGCAAACTACATCTTTGTACTCCAAATTCAGGCTATTATATCTACTTTAGATCTTCTAATTATAGATTGCGGTAACTGTCGTTCATTTTCACATGTTTCAAAAATCTCTTATTATGGAATTATCAATCTCGCATATCCTAACCCCGCAAAAGGAATGAACTTGAATATCCAATAGCTTTTTTCATCTGAAGCATGCCCGATCACAAAGAGATTTCAGGGTTCAGATTTCCTAAATACCACGCTCATACTAACTAATATAATGTGATGTCATTCAATAGTGCAAACTGAATAATTGATCCACACACCAGATAAAGGATTGTCTTTTTCTTGTTTTTACTTCTTAAATGATATAAAACTTTAGATATGAAATTAATCTATATAAAATATACAAGAATTACAGCACTCGCTATCAGAAATAAAAAAAGAACAAAGTGAGAAAATTACTCTTTGTGTTTTTAAATTAGCTGACACTCAAATGCTTGAAGAACGCCCAAGAGAAAATTACTTGTAAAATTTATCAAGAAGAAGGAAAAATAATAAATACTAGAAAAATATTATGGGATGGGATTTTATAATTTATATAATTGGGAAAAGCAAAACAGGCAAATTATTTTTAGCAATAACATTAAATTAGTGATATCAGCCGTTGATAAGCCAGCTAAGAATACCAAAAATCAATTATTTTTATTGTTTATAATTCCAAAAGTTTTGAATTTTCTTTTAAAAAAAAGGATATCATGAATACTATTCTTACTAAGTCTTTTCTTTGTAAATACATTTCCAGAAACCTCTCGGATAGTGCTGATCTTGCCAGTAAATCCTTGCTTGCGTGGTAAAACCACCTTTTTTTGATTTCATCAAACAAGTGGATCTTCTTCCAATAAAACTTTTTGTAATGTTAAATCTCTGTTTTTATTTTGTTGTACATGATTTTTAGCACTTAATATTAAGCAATTGAAAAAACGTTGGCTAATGAAATTGTTTAATTATTTGATATCAAAATGACTTATTTACCTTTTATTTGATTATCATCAAAAAAACGATGATAATGTTGACTTCTGAGAAGTGCCAAAAGGTTTTTACAAAAAAAGGAAATCAGCCGGCTAAGTCGTTTAAAAATTCCTCGGCAGACTAAGCTCAATCAAATCAGCTTAGCTGGCTAAACTGTTAAATCCCCTGGCCAGCTGACATTACTACATTAAATAATCAAATAGACTTATCATCAACTTTTTCTTCTTTATGCATGTTTTGATAAGGTGTATGATTTACAAACATATAAAGCTCCTAACGAGATTCGGGTTGATTTCGGGTTAATAAAAAAATTTTGTGATTTAGATAATATTAAGTTTTATTTACCTAAATTTTATCAATTAAATATAAAAGGCAAAACAGTTATATTGGTTTAAAAGCTGCAATTGATGCTATGCGTGACGCAAACACAATTCACGATGCAAGAGATGTAAGACACAATTCGTGATGCAAGACGTGATTTATGATGCAAGACGTAACTCAAGGCAATTCGTGACGCAATACATAATTAAAGACACAGGGCTAGTGATGATGATCGGAACCAATCCATAGTTTAGGCCTAATTTTACGGCGAAGTTGGCGAAACCTAAACTGTGGGCGAAAATCAAGCGGTCAATTAAACTTTATGTTTAATTTCCGACCACAAAAGTGTTTTATTGATTTATTTTATTATTACAAAACGAATTAGGTCAAAAAATGACATTATTTTTATGTAAATCATAATCGTTCTTAATATTAATAAATATATACAGTCAGACCTCCATAAATGCACACTATGTCTTGGTCCCAACTTAGGGATAAATACACACCCTCCATACTCTGCACTGCGCGTATTTTTTCAGTCCACACATATGAAAACTCTCCATAAATGCATCTCACGCGACTAATGTATGAAAATTCATCAGCAAAAATTTTGACTTGATTGGATGTGATCCAATTGAATTTCATGACTTTGTGTCACTAAATGAACTTTTTGATAAAATCCAAGTTGATGAATTGAATACCCCTGAAGAAAATATTGTCTGTGAGATTCCAGAAGGTGATAGAAATTATCAAAGAACTTGCAGAAATAAAATAAATGTACCTGCTGACAATTTTGAGAAGATGACAATAAGTCTTGAGGAAGCATTAAAGGTCTTGAAACTGTACATGCATTTTTATTAAGCAAGATAATGCTAGCAAACAAATAAAATTGGTTAATAAAATTGAAAGATATATCAATGTAAAAAAAGTAAATTCATCAAAAACCAACTACAATGAATAGTTATTTAGTATTACTGTATTTAAAATATTGTGTATCACATGCAACCAATGAAATCGCTTCTATTCATAAATGAACATTGTCCCTCGTCCCAAGGGAGGTTCAATTGCCAAATGGAGTCTGTGTAGCATTTTTGATGATAATTTAGAATCACCTGATTTTGTAAATTCATTTGATTAAGTGTAAACAATATGATTGGTTCAGAAAATGACCATGTTATTTAAAATCGATTTTCAAATGACCCAAATGACTTGTCATTTGTCATCACTGTTATACATGAAGTTGAAATGGTCAAAGTTATGCCATATTACATGAGAACCAGTGATCCAACTTTAATAAAACATGACTTATTTAGAATAGCTGATTCAAATAATGATGATCTAATGTTCATAGCATTGATAAATGGGTGAATTATTGTAAGGATACTGTAAACAAAAATATCTCATCAATTAGTGATCTGGATTTTATGAATTAGACTGGTGTTCTGTGTTGCAATCCAAAAAAGGAAAATGGTCGTAAAGGTGGTTGCAACCAACAGTTGCAATTATTTTTATATGATGCAAAGATGGTAGCAACCATCATCAAAAGTTGCAGCTGGTATCCTTAAATTAGTTACCTCATTGAGAGAATTTAAATGGTAGTTGTTTTATCCAAAACAGCCAGATATTGACAATTTAAAGTTTTTGATTAATTATTCTGTATGTTTTCAACTTTTAATTTGATCTAATCAAAATATTTCAACTTTTAGGCTTTAATTTCAAGTTTATGTATAGTCAATATTGTTTTTGTATTTTTATTTTAGATTTATTATAATTTTCTGTATGATTTCAGCAACTAAAAATACATTTTATCATTAACTAAAACATGTTTTACCCTTAAACAAAATACATTTTATTCAGTATTAGTATTATTCCCATATTATTTTTCATACTGTTTGTGTATCTTTCCATATTGATTCAGTATTGGTATTGGTATTATTTCTGTATTGATCCATACTGATTCTTTACTTTTGATACTAATACAGGAATTTATGTGGAAATTTACATATAGTGCCAATCATCATAAAATATTGCCAATCTTTAAATGCTGGCACTTTACTAAATATGGGCTATTTTACCAAAAACTCTATTTTTGAAAGCTTTTTTTGAGTTATTTAATAAAAAAAAAGTTATAATGGTTTAAAGTTGGGTAACTTTACTATATTATTTGAAATTTTGTCAACTATATATCTAAACTGTAATTTACTGATTATTTTCATGATTTAATAAATATTCACGTGACAAAGTCGCAGATATCTTACAAATTTGGATTTACTTGTTGTATATAGCATAGTGGAAATATGAAATGTTACACTAATTTTTTATATTGTGCAACGTAGCTTTACAATGCACAGCAAACATTCTGTGGGGTGTTACAAATTATAATAAACACAAACATAGTTGAGCAC